ATAATCTTAATGTTTCTGTGGTGAAGTGAAGACAAATTTGGTGCACATTATGAGATTCATGACCATTCTACACATTTGCAGAGTAAAAACAAAAATTGGAAGATTCCAATTTAGATTAGGTAACAGATGCAATTATATGCAAGAGTTTAATTTGAAAGTGGTATACTAAGTAATAAAGATGCTGAGTCACAAAGGAGATTTTATCCTGAGGAAAAAAGCAGCCTGGAATTCAGTAGATATCCAAATTGGGGTATGTACTGGGTGGGAGAATAAAAAGAGACACTTGATAGCAGGAGGTGCTGTAGAAGTCCCTTGTCCACCAAGCAGCTCCACCGATGTGCCAGGAGCTCCATTGACCTCCACTTGTCCTGCTCCCAGCAGTCAGGGGACCAAGAAGACTCTTTGCTGACATCTCTATTGTACCACCAAAATGACAGCACTTATCTGAATGGAAGGAACTTTGGAGGTTCCTGCTCCCATATAGAATTATGACAGCATCTAGCAATTCCAGTTCTGGATATATAACCAAAAGAATTGAAGGGAGAGACAAAAAATAGACATTTGTTTAATCATTGTTTAAAATAGACAAACAGAAGCCTCTTGATGGACTAATGAATAACCTGTATAGACAGTGGAGTTTTATTTAGCATTGAAGACAAAGGGAATCCTGAGCATGCCACAGGGTGGATGCACCTGGAACATCTTACACTCAGTGAATAAGCCAGATGCAAAACATGAAAAGTTGTTTGGTATCACTCACATGAGGTCCTTATAGCAAAGAAATTCATGCTGATGAGCAGCAGAGTGGTTCTCAGGTATGCGGGAGTGGGAATGGGGAGCTACTAATTAAGGGGTGCAGTTTCAACTTTGCAGGATGAAAAGTGTTCTGGGGATGATGATGATGATTGTTGGGCAACAAGGTGAATTCAATAAAAGTGTTGAACCTCACACTTAAAATGACTGAGATGGTCAGTTTTAACTTATATATATTTTACTACATTTAAAAGATTTTTTCTGCACATGGGCTTGAGCCCAGGGCCTTGCCCATGCTATGCAAGCCCTCTACCACTGATTTGGATTGCTGCCTTATTTATTTTTTGATAAAAGGCTCACTACACTGTCCAGGCTGACCTTGAACTAGCAAACCTTCTGTCTAACCCTGCAGACATGCTGAGGTTATAGGTGTGTGTTTCTATGCCTGACTATAATAATTTCTATAAAGCATTATTTTGTCATCAAAGGAAGCCAAATACACTGGTGGCTGCCTACTGGGACCACTGACAGGTGAGATCCGGCTGTTATAATTTCTCGTCAGCAGCATGAAGACCCATATCACTAATTTACAAGCCAGACCGCACTGTAGGGTACACAGTGCTCTGAAAGGGAAACAGAAACTTCACAGAAGAAATGTAAGCCTGTCCTCAACCCCACTCCCACCCCAGGCCTGGCCAGCACAGAGAGGGGACCAAGTCCAGAAGTGCATGCATGCTACAATCTTGTGTCCTTCTGGGGCACCTGCTGGGGTCTCACATGTCACATGGGCTCACTGTGTGACAACATTTTCTCCTCCATCCTGCACTGACCTCTGCATCTCCCCCTGCATCCTGATCTCCAATCCGGCTGCAGCCCCAGATCTATGCACGGGAATCTGAATAACAGCTTTGCTCTGCCAGGTGATGTAGAGACAGGTGTGTATAGCCGGGAAAATGAAACAGGGGCCTCCTTAGGTCTGATCTTGACTAGACGGAGTTAAAATCAAACTTTCCTAGAGAGCCCCCTCAGAAGGAAGTTAAAGGTAAAGTTAGAAAATGAAGCAAAGCAAAGCAAAGCAAAGCGAAACAATAACCAGAGATCAAACAAACACCACCAGACAACCGCCCCAAATGACCTTGGGACTTGCATCAAGAGACCAGAAAAAGAGCTTATTGTAGGACTTCCAAATGATATAGGGGATATAAATGTAACTCTCAACCTGCTAGATGTCTGGTATGCCAAGTTCATTTCTCCAAAATTAAACCATGAAGTATAAGGAGCAATGGAGGCTATGAGTAGGAGATTTTATTGAGAAAGAGGACAGCTACTGAGAGAGCCAGGAAGGGACCCAGAAAATGATCTGGCTCATGCTCCACTTTGCAGAAGTTTTATGGAACAAAATGATGAAGTGGATAGAAAACCATGAAGTGCATACAACATGGGACAAAACTATAAACAACCAATAAGATTACAGGTACAGCTGCTTAAGTAATGTTGATCCAATGGGGAGCAAGCCATGGAGCAAGTGTGCATGGGAAGGGCAAGGGTCCTCTTTGGATGAGATGAGTCAGGAGGTCCCGCTTACCACCTGGATGGCTGCTGCCTATCTTGACCTTATTGGACTAGGTGGATGCACTACAGTATGTCGCCTAGCCCTCCAACAGGCATGTAGTCCTGGTCTTTCAGTGTTTTTCTTGAGGTCTCACCTTTAAGGAATGTGATCCGGCCTGCAGATCAACCTATCCAGAACTCCTGGAGGGGGAATGGGGATTAAATAAAAGACATGGGGGAGACAAAAGAGACAAGGCAAGTTGAGATAATCCAATCAAGCCTTCGGTTTATTCAGAAAATGATCACACCTTTTATAGGCTAAGGGCGGGAGCTGGGACAGGAAGAGGTTAAACAGATGAATACAACAGGGTCACCGTCACATCCGGATATGTGACGTAAGCAGGAGAGGATTATGGTTAATGTAGGCAGACGCAGTGCCCATAGAGAGAGGCATGGAGGCAGCAATGCCTGTCACTCAGCTGCCTACAGGAATGGACCTCAAGCCACAGTTGTAAAATGTTCTTTTCTTCTGCACTGACTCATTGAGGGCCTGGCCCTTTCTGACTGCCAATGTTTTATACTTTCATCTCATTTACTCCTTTGGTTTCTTACATTAACAATACAATATGGTATTTACACATGCAAGTCTGATTTATTTCACTTGTGAGTATGGTTTCTAGTGGAATCCATTGACCTACAAAAGTCTTGAGTTAATCATTCTTTTTACACAATACAATACTACTTAGTACTTAGTAGTATTCCATTGCATTAAAATACCACATCTTTTTGTATCCATTTTTCAGTTCATGGGTATTTGGTCTGTGTCCAAGATCTGGGTATTACAAATTGTGCAGCTATGAACAATGGTGCACATATGTCAGTATGGTATGCTGTGTTTAAGTGTTTTGGGAAAATACCCAGAGGGAGGATAACTGAATTGAATGGAACCTCATATTCTACATTTAAAGGGAATTTTTGCAGTGATTGTACCAGTCTCCAAACCCACCAACAATGGAGAAGGGTTCTTTTTTCCTCACAGTCCTGCTGGCATTTGTTACTGGTTGATTTCTTGATGTTAGCCATTCTTTCTAGAGTGAGATGAGATCCAGTGCTGTCTTAATTTGAATTTCTTGTATGACCAATGATGTTGACAAGTTTTGCACATATTTATCTGCCATTTGTGTGTATTTCATCTGAGAACTGTGTATTTATCTCTCACACCCATTTTTGGATTAGGTCTTTGAGTTTGGAGGACCTGATTTTTTTCAATGTTCTAGGTAAAAATTTATGATCTGAGGGACAGTTGGCAAAACTCTTTCTCAATCTGTGTTTTTTTTTGTTTTCATTTTTGCTGCTGGTGATTTCTTTAGATGTGCAAAACTAATATCCCAGTTGTTAGTTTTCAAAGTATTTTCCATGCAGTTTTTTTTTTTTTTTTGTATCAGGAATTGAACTCATAACCTCATGCTTGCCCGGCAGGCACTTTCGCCACAGAGCTAAATCCCCAGCAACTGCAGTTTGGTTTTTGTTCATGAACTCTTTGCCTACCTCTATGTCCTCAAGATTTCTACCTACTTTATTTTCCCATAGATATAATGTTTCTGTTTTATTATTTAGATCTTTGATCCATTTTGACTTTAATGCATGGTGATAGGTATGGGTCTATTTTGAATTTTTGGCACATGCAGAACCAGTTTTTCTAGCACCATTTATTAAAGACGCTTTCTTCCAGTGAACATGTTTGGTGTCTTTGTCAAAGATAAAGTGGACAGCCATGTTTACATACCAATATGACTTTCACGTACTTGACACAGACCTTCATCATTCTCCACACAGTTTGCAATGTTGTAACCCTTGGGAATTCTGTTTGGATAACTCTCTGTACTCTGTAAAGGACTTGGTCCCACCCCATACCTTCTATGACTTTTTTGCATGTGTGCATATGGGGTTCTCACCTAGATCCCTGATCTCCCAAATGAGTGTATGGCAGAGATTAAATGAAAAGAGACAAATTGTATGATTTTGTAGGGCTCCAGGAGGTTCAAAATCCTTTAATTAAGCTTGAGACTTTGAGGGTTAAGATAAAGGATTCTCTGATCAGTCACTTACCTTAGGAACAAGGACAAAGGGCAGAGAAACTGAGGAAAGTGCAAGCAATGAGCAGGACCTTGGGAGTCACTTCAAGGATGTCTCCAAGTCACGAATCAAGTCAATTAGTAGAATTGTCTTATCATGAAGACATGGTAGAAGTGAAACCGTAGGAGTCATCTTTGCTGCTGCAGTCTCTACATCCTTAATTGGGGTTGGAGCCAGAGTGTCTGCAGCTGTGGCCTTATCTTGCCCTTGGAGGTATCTCTGGCCATAAAGGCCACTATACTGGCCAGGACCAGTCATTTGTAGAGGTTCACTTAGTATGAAACAGCTCCTGTCACTAGGCAAGGGGCTGAGGCCTAAGACAGACTCAACAATAAACACAGAGAGCCAATTAGTAAAATTTAAATCCTGCTCAGTGGCACCTCACAGTGGTCTCCAACATCTCCTCCCTTTTGCTTTTGCAATAACAACTGGATCAAGGTGAGGTGTGGTTGCATGTTGTCTACGAGTTGGCCCATCTTGGCTCGTCTTCAACAGACTATGAGTAGAATAAGGAGAAACACACAGATTACTCCAAAAATACCAACAGAAAGCCAGAAATGTGCCTTGAGATAGTTGAATGGATTTAATTATGTAAAGCATCAGAAAATTTGTCCCAATCTTGAATTTGTTCATCAAATTTTTGGGTTTGTTGAGATATTGACAAAACCTCCTTCTGGAGTGCATCAATGTCCATAATAATATTTTGATGGATAGCTTCTTGTATATGTTTCTTTATATCCTCCCAAGAATGCATAGATTTGTTCTAAGGCAAGGGAATTATGCAGAAACAAGTGGCCTTATAATGCACAATGTAGGAAGCCAAGTTTAGTTCATGATAAATCTCAGGTGGAGAATCTTCCCAAGTAATGGGTCTAAGTAGTAGTGGATTAGGGACATAAATTCATCACTTCAGTCTTGGTACAGGTGCCATATATACAGATACTGCAAGCAGGGCCATTAAGGCAACCAAAAGATTTTCAGGGGTTGGTGGAGTCCCCCTTCTGGTGACTACATTCTAGCCTCATGGATCATTGCTTGAATGTTGTTTCACTGGACCATTCATCTTTTCTCTTGGTCTCTTGGGAGAGCTGGAAACCAGTTTTCTGGCTGATTGGCAGGTCTCTGGGCCTAGGTTTGTGGAGCCATCTTCTAAGGCTGTCCTCAGCATTGGTTGTTTCTGCCACCAATGCTGTGTATATCTTGTGGATCTTTCACCTGTTAAAACACAAGCATAACCTCACTTCAACGTTATTAGCTGTATTGATTTTTTAAGTCTAAAGTAAGCATGGAAAAGGCAAAACTTGGTCTACCTGTGGGAAAAATAAGAATGTTAAAAAAGCAGTCTTTTAAATCAATTATGATGAGAGGCCAGTCTCTGGGAACTGCAGCTGGATTTGGCAGACCTGGCTGCAGGGCCTCTAAGGGAAGTAAGCAGGCATTTACAGCTCTTAAATCCCAAAACAACTTCCATTTGTCTGACTTCTTTGGAATAACAAAGACAGGAGTATTCTAAGGACTAACTGAGTTTTCTAAATGGCCTTGCTGTAATTGCTCTTCGACTAATTTGTGTAATTGAGTTGGCTTCTCATTTTTAAGGGGCCATTGATCTACCCAAACAGGCTCCTTAGTTTTCCATTGTAAAGGCAGAACTGTTTTGGGGGGAGAAGCCCTTGTCAAAAATCTTGCTGATATCCAATACCTTGCCTGTCATTTTCAGGTGTAATTTTTTTTTAAATTTTATTTAAGGAGAAAAAAGAAAAAAAAAAAAACAGAAAAAGGGCACAAGTTATACAGAATTTCAGAAAAAATAAACAGTAGGAAATCACTAGCTAATTACATATTGTCATCTTAGACATAGTTGTTCAAGTTACAAAATTAAAGCATATAGAGGGGACTTTCAAACAGTGAGACTGCAAACAGTTTTGTCCAATGATCCAACAAAACTCAGTAATATGGTTATCTATCTTATACACTTAAATATATATGCAGTTATATCTTTTAGAGAGCTTTCTTTTCCTTTCTTTTGTACAATGACAACTACACATTTTGGGTTTTATTACTCCCACAGTTCTTACTACTTTTTTTTTTTTGAAGAAAGTAAAACCAAATGTGACATACCAGGACAGAGTCAGTCAAATCAAAAGGATGGACATAATAGATAATGTAAAAACAAAATGCAAGGTGATCAACAATGGTTACCATAATGCCTCTTGTTATCTTAAAAAGAATTGCCTATATCATGAGTTATAATAAAATTGAACAAAATAGTAAAGAATAAGACCAATAAAACCAAAACATTGGAGATATTAGAGGACTTCAAAAGAAGATAATAGTCAACCAGAATGGGCATCACAATGGATCTTATCGTCTTCATAGTTGTTGCCTATACTTTCAAACTTGGTACTATCAAGCATAACAAAATAGAGGAAAATGAGTCAAAATAAGATGGTGAGAGCAATGTAGAGTTTCAAATCAAGTTAATAGGAAATCAAAGTGGGTTACTATAATATATCCTGCTATTTTTTATTTATTTTTCCCTTAATTAAAGGGATAAAAATGAAAAAATAGAAAATAAAAAGGAGATTGAGATAAAAAAGGGGGCATAATAACAAACAGTGCAGGTCAAAACATAGCCATTTAAGCAAAGTAGTGTTTCACCACAGGATACTCTCGACATAATAGTAGTTACCATAGTGTCTCTTCCCTTAAAATCTTTGTGTGTAACTTCATATACTGTACTATCAAAGATATCAAGACAAAGTAAAACCGTTCAAGAGAATGACAGTATTACAGGGTATTTAGAATCAACTAACAGAAAATGAACAATGGTTTCTGTATAATCTCCTTGTCTATAAAAGTTTTTGTTTATATTATCACATATAATAAAATCCAATAAGACACAACACGTTAAAACCAATGGAGACAGAAGAACAAAAGCTTGATGGTACTTCAAAACAAGAGGATATTAAATCAGCACTACCTATAATGATGTCTTGTTTTCTTCAAAATGGCTGTTCCTAACATCCAACCTTCTCTGCCTCATTTCTGTTGAGCTCTTTTTCTGTCATTAGTTGTCAGTTTGTCCTCTTCATTTTGCTTTGTGCTCCATTCATTGTGGCTGCTCTGCCACTGTTTCTGGAATCTTGGTATTTTTCATTTTTAGAATATCCTGCAGTGCTCCCCATCCCAGCTGCACTTGGAGAACTGTGGAGCTTCCAATGGGTGGGTGGGCGCACACTATCCCCGGAGCCCAGCCTGTTTGGGACTCCTGCGCCTCACCATTGGTGTGCAGAGGAGGGGCTGGGCGGATCTGGGGCGCCTGCATCCGCCTCCCTGTGTGTCTGGAGGACTGTGGATATCTCAGCAAACAGGGGAGGATTGCAGGTTCCAGAAGCCCCGCAGCCTGTGGTGAGTGCTCAGCGCACTCTGCCCAAAGCCCAGACTGTTCGGGACACTCCAGGCTTCCGGGTGCAGTGAAGTGGAGAAGTGGGGTTGAGGCCTCTACATCTGCCTCCCCATCCCGGCTGCACTTGGAGAACTGTGTAGCTTCCAACAAGTAGGCGGGCGCACGCTATCCCTGGAGCCCAGCCTATTTGGGACTCCCGCACCTCGCAATCGGTGTGCAGAGAAAGGGCAGGGCAGATCTGGGGCACCTGCATCCGCCTCCCCGTGTGTCTGGAGGACTAGATATCTCAGCAAGCAGGGGAGCATTGCAGGTTCCAGAGGCCCCGTGCCTTGCGGTAAGTGCTCAGTGCACTCTGCCCAAAACCCAGACTGTTCGGGACCCTCCAGGCTTCTGGGTGCACTGAAGTGGATAAGTGGGTTTGAAGCATCTACACCCGCCTCCCCATTCCGGCTGCATTTGGAGAACAGTCGAGCTTCCAACAAGCAGGTGGGCGCACAGTGTCCGTGAAGCCCAGCTTATCTGGAACTATGGAGATCTAAACAGGCAGAAGAGGGCCATTGGTTCTGCAGGCCCAGTGGCTTGGGGTAAAGGGGTGCCAGAGTCTCAGGAGCTGCAAACATAGAAGGGGATTTCCAGCAGACCCTGAGGAAGCTTTCAAATAACACTTGAAACACAGAAATATAGGAAAATGACAAAATGAAAGACCAAATTACAACCTCAAACCTCCAGCCAATCTCAAGAAACCCTAGGAGCTATGTATATAGAAGAAAATATATGTCATTCACCTCAAATATCGGACACAATAGCTACTGAAATTAACAAGCAACTCCAGGAAGCTTTAAAGAAATTCAAACTTGAAATAATCTCCCAGGTAAAAGAAGAAATGATAAAAGAAATGAAAGAGATTCTGAATATATCTAAAGAAAACACAGATAAAAAATTGGAGGAACTAAACAAAAAGATAGAATCCCTAGATGAGCAATATAAGAAACAAACAATACATAATGCAGATGCACAGAGATATACAGGAAATAAAAAATTCCACTGAAAGTTGTAAAAACCGCCTCAATGAAAGTGAAGATAGAATTTCAGACATTGAAGACAGGATTGCAGCTAGTGAACAGGAAAGGAAAGATCTTTTAAAAATAACAAGGAATCAGGAAACAACAATTCAACAACTGCAAGACGATGCAAACAAAAATAACATAAGAATGATAGGGATTAATGAAAAAGAAGGAGACAACATAAAGGATGTCAAGAGGCTATTTAGAGAAATAATAGATGAAAATTTCCCAAGCATGAGATCGGAAACTGACATCGGGATCAGTGAAGCATATAGAACTCCAAATAGTCATAACCAAAATAAAACTACACCCAGACATATAATAATCACCATCCCAGAAATCCAACACAAGAATAGATTATTAAAAGCTGTCAGAGAGAAAAGACAGATCACTTATAAAGGAAAACCTATCAGAATCACAGCAGACTTCTCAGCACAAACAATAAAGTCAAGAAGAGCATGGAGTGAAGTATTCCAGATTCTAAAGCAAAATGATTTCCAACCTAGACTGATATATCCTGCAAAACTATCATTCAAAATTGATGGTGAAATATGATACATCCATGACAAAGAACAGCTGAAGAACTTCATGAACACCAAACTAACCCTGCAAAAAATATTGAAAGACAGTTTAGATACACAAAGGAAAAAACCACTAAGCAAAGCAAATAATTAAACAGAACAGAAAGATAAAGATGCAACAGCAGAGAGATAAGATTCCTACAATTAACCAACATTTAACAGTAATAACCATTAATGTAAATGGTCTCAATGCACCAATCAAAAGAAACAGACTAGCAGAATGGATCAAGAAACAAAATCCAACCATATGCTGTTTACAGGAAACCCATCTAACCCAGAAGGATACTCACAGACTGAAAGTCAAAGGATGGAAAACAATTCTTCATGCAGCAGGAATCCAAAAAAAAAAAGCAGGAGTAGCCATTCTGTTTGCAGACAACGTGAACTTTAAACCAACAATGACCATAAAGGATAAAGAAGGTCACTACATACTCGTAAGGGGAAAACTCCAAGAGGAAGAGATAACTATCTTAAATATATATGCACCAAACTCCAGAGCACACAGTTATATAAAACAACTATTATTCGAAATGAAAAATCAAATTATCAGTAGCACAATTGTAACAGGAGACCTTAATACGCCATTGACACCAAGGGACAGATCGACCAGACAGAAAATGAGTAAAGAAATAACAGAACTGAATCATACCTGTGAACAAATGGGTTTGATAGACATATACAGAATGTTCCACCCAACAACATCAGAATACACATTCTTCTCAGCAGTACATGGATCATTTTCTAAAATAGACCATATATTAGCTCATAGAACATATTTGAACAAGTGCAAAAGAGCTGAAATCATCCCTTGCATGTTATCGGATCACAGCGCTCTGAAATTAGAAATTAACGATAAAAGATACTGCAAAAATCCCACAAACACATGGAAACTGAATAACACACTCTTGAGTAATCAGTGGGTCACAGAAGAAATTAAAGAAGAAATCAAACAATACCTAAAAGAAAATGAAAATGCAGATACAACTTACTGGCATCTGTGGGATGCAATGAAAGCTGTCCTCAGAGGAAAATTTATTGCACTGAGTTCCCATATCAGGAAAACAGAACGAATACAAATAAATAACTTGATGCTACACCTCAAACAGCTAGAAAAAGAAGAGCAAGTCAAGCCCAAAGCCAAAAGAAGAGAGGAAATTATAAAAA